CAAGCCTCTGCTCCATTTCACTTCGTTACTTAAGTTTTTAACTAGAAAATGAATAAAATTTGTTTTTATTTTTATTTTTTTTTGAGCGGGAGATATAAAAATGTGTGTTTTGAATTTACGAACCATGCACTAGTGTCCTCCACTCACCGAGCAGAAGAGCCTCCCGTTTATCCTGCAGAATTGGCAGGTCCTCAACGGCTGAAGAACGCTCATTGTTGAAGCGATCATTCCGCTCGACTGGATCGACGAATGCAACGCATTTTACGCGCATTGAACCTTCGAGGAAGTGGCGCGCGCCTATGTGGAAACGCAGCCCAGAGATGGCGGTGTATAAGCCGTGGCGGTGACGTATCGGTGGGAAGTAGATCAATTCTGCTTGATTCCTAACCTATAAAATTTTAAAATTGAAATTACAGCGTAAATTGATATTTTACAGAAAAAAGTTACTAAGATAAATTGTAGAGAATTTAATTATCTATAATATGTACTAAAAATAATTTTAATAAAATTAATATTTAAAGAAATATTCTAAAATTTTAAAAGTAAATCATTTTTATTATTTTTTATTTATTTTTCACTAAAAAAAATTATTAATAAATAAAATAAAAATTGCTCGCAATGTAACTAAATCTAGTAAAAAATGATTACTAAAATAAAATATATTTATTTTAATCTTTTTTTATTAAAATTACGCTCTGTAAACTAAAAATAAAAAATAAAAAATAAAAAAATTCTTTGTTTACCTGTTGTTCATTAATATACCAATGCAGAGTCGATGGTGGAAAACTTTTCGCCGAAGTGCAATTCAGATTGATCTCATCCCCAATCTGATACTGCGCCGCCACCCCCGTGATCACCGGATCGTCCTTAGGCAGTGCTGTCAAAGAACCACCACCAGAAACAACACCTCTATCAATAATTCATTACACATTGATTTCTCTTTTTTCATATTCACATAAGATTCCGACTTTCTTGCCCGAGGCGCATGAAAAATGTTCATAAACGCTGGCGCAAAATCAATATTTATATGCATCGCTGCATCGCATGTTGGTCCGCCACCACCCTTTTAATGTTTCACTCGAGTTTTGGATTTATGCGTTCATAAAATCCCGGCTTCCTGTCGCGGTTGCGTCAAACACGCGAGCAACAGCAGGAAAAAACAAAACATAAC